TTTTGTTATTGAAATGACCCCCAATGTTGAAAGTTCCGCTATGTTACAAAAAAAGGTACACGGGTACCTTGTGGGATTTGTTCTTATTTAGGAAGAGTTAATACAAAACCATATGCTACAGTTAAGATACCTATCCTCTTTAGGGCGTTGCAACCACTATTTGTGTTTACCCCTCCTTTTTAATTTAAAAATGGCTACGGTTTAGTGGTTGGCTATTGCTTTCCGTACAGTACTGAGCTGTTACCGTTGTCAAAATCAACTCAATGACGCTTGCTACCCAAATCGCCTTCAGCTGTCTTCGAACTCAGATATGTCGAGATTATAAAACTGTGTTCACAAAACCTAAGCCACAAACAGTATCCAGATGTAGATCACTACATAAGAAGGCTAAAAATAAAACACTGAATGTGAGGGAAAGCGGTAAAGAACCCTCTCTGACATTTGGAAGAACGTGGTTCGTGTCCCAACTAAAGCCCTGGGGTTTTCTTTCATTCTAACCTGCACAGTCCGTGACGACTGCACTAGACATACAGCCTGACGTCCTCAGGCTCAAATATCCCCGTCTCTTAACTCGTCAGCATATGTCAGTTAACAACACAAGAAGAGACAGAGTTCGGAATACCAACACGAGAGAGATAGTTGGAGGAATACCATGTCTGAATTATAATGACAGACAGAATGAAATGATTCTTTCGAGAGAATGCAGCAAGACCCAACTACTTTTGAGTATTTTATACAGCAGAACTGGGAGAAAGGCGAGGGGAGACCAAGGAAGAGATGGATAAATGATGTAGACGATATATGCAAACAAATGAACAGATTCATCACCCAAGAAGCGCAAGTCATGTATAGAACACCACTGGGCTACAACCTGGTATCAGTGAGACGAGAAAAGACATAGATATGTCAGCATATCACAACCATTTACAATAAACTTCCTTAAACTAGGGAATTTCGGCGATTCACCTTCATCAGCAGAACAACGACAGGAAATAAAACACAAGATAGACACATACAAAGTGAATTGACTGAAATGACTACACTACAGTATTCAAATATTACGTATAGGGGAAAAAAAAACGAAACAATAATAAGCGACCTTTTCGTACTTCTCCATGCGCTTTGAGGCTACAGTTCTGACAGGATATTTTCAAAGACAATTTTGTACTACAAGGTGTCCCATAAGTTACACACAGAGGAAAAATAGACATTAAAAAAAATTAAAACCATTTTTATTTTATAATATGCTCTACATGAGTGACGTTGTTTTGAAAACGCATTTCCTCCACTACTAAAGAACACGCATAAGTATAGCTGGAGTTGTGCTTGTAATGGCATTGATTATATGTTTATTTTTTTTTTTTTGTATGGGAACTATGTGATGAGAAGGAGAAAATTGGATTACATCGTGACGGTAGGAAAGTTGGAGGGGGAGGAGAGGCAGAGGGAGAACGAAAGAACACACGCTAAGCAGTTTGACATCATAGCATGGAAGATCATCTGTGCCAGAGTTGACTGAAAGTACACGAGACAAAAGGTTGTGGATAGACATGACTACCAACGCCCCACGGCATGGACTTTGTGAAGAAGAAGAAGAAGAAGAAAAGAAACCAGTGGAACACCCTACAGTAGATATGCCAATATCCCACCGGTCGTCTTTTCTTCCCAGAACAGTTCACGGAACCAGTTTACCATACAGTGACCTGAGAGGCAAAGCCAGTTTTAAAATAACAACACTAGGGTAAAGATTCGAAAACATGACCTCCAGATCGAAAGGTCTCTGCACCACCGCTTCACGTTAACGTGACGTTCCCTTCACGTTAACACAGATTGTAAAGTTTGTTTTGACAACTCACAGACTTCAAGAGAACGGCTATTGTTTTGCTTCTGCTATGACATTGCTGAATACATGAAGTGAATTACTAATTATATTTGCCTTGCATGATTTTGTCTGTCTATCTATCTATCTATCTATCTATCTATCTATCTATCTATCTATCTATCTATCTATCTATCTATCTATCTATCTATCTATCTATCTATCTAATCTATCTATCTATCTATCTATCTATCTATCTATCTATCTATCTATCTATCTATCTATCTATCTATCTATCTATCTATCTATCTATCTATCTATCTATCTATCTATCTATCTATCTATCTATCTATCTATCTATCTATCTATCTATCTATCTATCTATCTATCTATCTATCTATCTATCTATCTATCTATCTATCTATCTATCTATCTATCTATCTATCTATCTATCTATCTATCTATCTATCTATCTATCTATCTATCTATCTATCTGTCTGTCTATCTGTCTGTCTGTCTGTCTATCTGTCTGTCTGTCTGCCTGTCTGTCTGTCTGTCTGTCTATCAAGCAACTTTTATACTAGCTCGGTAAATCCCAAGTTGCTGATACTCTACAAACACTCCTTCTGGTAAAGTTTCAACATTAGCCCATTCTCGCTCATACAAAATGAGAAGAGGGTATTAGGAGCAAAGTAAATGTGTTTGATTGTCTGAAAAATCAAGATGTATGTCCCCGTGTGGGTTACATGCCCCATGAGGGAGGGAACACTCCCTGCTTCCCTAATAAGTATGTCGTAAAAGGCAACTAATTAGGGTTTCCCTGAAATCGGATGTGTTGGGCCAAAAGGCGCAGATATTGCTGTCGAAGAAGAAGAAGAAGAAGGAAAAGAAGAAGAAGAAGAAGAAGAAGAAGAAGAAGAAGAAGAAGAAGAAGAAGAAGAAGAAGAAGGATGTGTGTGAAAGGAACCAGCGGCAATGGTAACGGCTCAGGTATTACCAGTGAGTACCAGTGAGCCTCGGTCATCGGTTTTGCCGGGGCACGTGAAATCAGAAGAAGAGTTGAGTAATTTCTGTAATAGAACATTTGGCTATCTTCCGAATAACGGTCCCAAATTATCGAGGCCGAAAATATACCCTAACAGGGCCTCAGTCACATGTAAATTGCGAATTTCCGACGACTACCGCCACTGCCGAGAGCATATCCCACGCTGCTACGCGTGGCGTGGATTGGGGCTAAACTAGATGGCTTGAACTCAACGAGCAGCAGCTACCCCATCTCCTGCAAATTCCTTCATTTCTTTTGCTCGTGAGTCCTAGCCATATATTTTAGCCCAACTCCACGCCGCGCGTAGCGGCGTGGGAGATACTCTCGGCGGTGGGGAAGTCCGCAATATACATGTGACTGAGGCCCTGTTAGGGTATATTTTCGGCCTCGATAATTTGGGACCGTTATTTGGAAGATAGCTGAACATTTAAAGAACTATATGTGGCTAGGCAGTAACCAATGCACTCAATGTGTTGAATTGTTTCATATCGAATGAGTTATAGTGCGTTGGTTTTGACGTACACGGATTTCCCCCATCTTAACCAGACATCCGCAATAAGAAAAATCCAGAAAATCTTTCTTGTCCACTCTGAAACAGGAAAGTGTGCCCCGGAAGTGTATGGGCTAGGCCAGAGAATTTCAAAGTTTTCATGACAGTGACACCGTTTTTTTTAGACAAACAATTTCATAACACAGTAATTCAGTCTACTAGCACGCAAAAGGTTAAACTAATCCCTTTTAATAGATGTGGACACTTATATAAACTGTAAACAACTAAAATTTTCCCCGATATAAATTATCTCATGAAAGCTTTTCCTTCACTGTATATTAAAACTAAAATATTTCCAAGACGAATAATAAAGTGAAAGTAGAGGATCCACACCTTTAGGCTAGTGCTCGACCGCAGGAAGTCGTGACTAGACCTATATTTTATGGGCCAATAGGCACTCGGTTCATGACGGGGTCAATGTTACACCGACTGTCTTTACTCCCCAGACCTTTACCTTGTACCATTTAAGGTTAGGTCGACCTGGGTGCTAGATAATTTAAAAAAAAAAGTCCGCGTCTTTTCGAATTTGAACCCACGACCTTCGAATCCGCTGGCGAGCGTCTACCAGCTACATTAAGGTGGCACCTTTTCAAAATTATTATCTTTGTTATTTTTATATTACGTTACTCGACACACCTTGACACTGCAGATGACGTACTAATATGTCGCGACATACAGCTTGAAAAGCTCTGGACTAGGTACATACAGTCAAGCTCCCAAGTCTTTAGTTGATTCAGAATTAAAGCTTTTTTTTTTTTTTAACATCTAACCTAGACTCCCAGGTCGACCAAACGTACATTGGGTACTGAAAATATCCTGGAAAATTAAGGCAGCTGTCGAAATGTTGAAAACAACACCAATCACGTGCAAATAGTTAAAAAGAAAAGAAAAAAAAAAACTGCTTAGCATCTTGCCTAATGTGCCAGTGGCGCAAAAAATGTCTTTTTTTTTTTACAACTCACAAAAACTTTCGTATCCCTGTCGAAACCTCAACCTATATTTACCCTTCTGCTCCCCTCCCCCCTCCCAGTAAACAAACAACATCATCATTCGATTGCAGATATTTCGAGCACTAAAATATATACAAATAATATGCCTAATAACGAAACTAATACAGTAATTTGTCTTATCGTGTTCGCCGGCTGTAAACTCCACCGGAATGTTTTTTTTAAAAATTGGTCTATGTGCCTGGACTTTGACTTTTTTATATAATGAGAGAAAAATGACGTGTCTATTACAAATTAATACATTTTGACCATATACATTTGCTCACGAGATACAGTTTTTCTAGTGCCTCTTTCCTGGTTTGGTCTCAAAACGCCGGATATTCGCCAGCATAGGTTGTCCAACACATCTATAATATATACATTTATATACACGTCTTATTGCCTGTTTGTGTGACTCGTTGCTTTTAAGTGCATCAACGACAGCGGCCACACAAACTGTGGAGGAAGAGCACAGCTCAAGTGGTTGGAACAAAGAGTTGCTTATTCTGTGTTATTTGATTGTCTAATACGTTGTCAAGGCGGCTTTCGGCAAGGCTGGGTACATCATTTTGTCAGGTCTCAATATTTCAGATAACTGCTATGGCCCATTCTCATGTTCCCGAGTCTGGCAATCCCCATACTCACGAACACAGCAATAACTGCGAGGAAGAATTATCAGGTGAGTCAAATACGTTATTCACCATGTTTGCTTATTGCTGGAGTTATTCATTGTAATATCATCATCATCAAAACAAAATAATAATAATCATCATCATCATCATTATCATCATCATCAGATGTCTTGCCGAATGGCGGGGGCGATCATGTCTCTCCACAATCTTCAATCAGCAGCTACATGTATCACTTCGTGTGTTGACACTCCTTAAGGCCATGACAAAAGGCTGCAAAAAATCTTTTCACATTGTCTTCCTCGGCCTCTCTTTCCACAGATCTTTCCAGTGGTCATAAAATGTTTCAGTTTTCTTCTTCTTAAACTTGACAACACACACACACACACACACACACACACACACACACACACACACACACACACACACACATTTCTGAATTAACTAATCTAAATGAGGTATATTACTATTTATCATCAAACTGTTGAGATGTTTCACACCTATCGTTGCCTCTCTTTGCTTTTTTTGTCGAGTTAATTGTCCGTATACTTTAACAAGTACAAGACGAAAAATAACCTATCTGTCTCGTAATAGCAATAATATATACATATAGAACACACTGTATTACCAGTTTTTGAGAGCATAGACTTATGACCAATCTGTGGATTCATTAAAAATGCGAACTGCGAGAATGAAAAGAAGAGGCAACAAAGACATTCATAATCTTTTGAAATCACAGCACATTTTAAATTAACTCATTAAGGTAACTGATTAGTTACATCAGATGCCATGCTGAAAAAAATAAGACAGACAAGATCAAACAGAAGACCAGGCAGACTACGGATCGATGGCATCAAAAACAACAATAAATTATTGAAGACAAACTTTTAGAACGCTTTGGAAAGAGCACATAGAAGATCCGTACATCTTCCTCAACACTTTCAAATCCAGCTGTGACTCGCTGCAGCACATGGCCAGTGTTCGAAACCAGGCGGTTCTCGGGGTTCACCCAGCCTCTAGAAAATGGGTACCAGAGTTAACACTCTGGGGTAAATGGAAGAACGTCGCTGTAGCTACGGAGTTGCGTGCGGATGGCGACACAGGCGCACAGTTTGTTATCAGCTGTCCGTACTGGTGGCAGAGCACTTATGGTTTATAACCGTATGCAGTGATGCTGGTTCGCATCTCCCGACTTTACCTTTACTTTGATAGTCATTAGAGGGAGAGAAAAAGAAAAAGGGGAGGCAATACATTTCTTGGTGACACAGAAAAAGGAAAACTGGAGTACTTCGTTAACAACCATAAAGTTAGAGAGTAGGAAAGGCAGAGAAAAACCAAGACCCATGGTGTAAGATAGTTTGGCATCACAACATGGGAGAGTATCTGTATCAGATATGAATGACAATACACGAGACAGAAGGCTGTCAACACCAACAAAAGGACCAACAAGAACACTAAACGTTAACACGAACACCAACAACAGCACCAACACCAACACCAACTCAACACCAACAACCAACGCCAACACCCATGCCAACACCAACACCAACGTCAACGCCAGCACCAACACCAACGTCAACACCAGCACCAAAGCTAACGTTAACGCCAGCACCAACAACAACACAAACAACAACACAAACAACAACACCATCAACCAACGCGAACACCAACGCCAGCACCAACACCAACGTCAACACTAGCACCAAAGCTAACGTTAACGCCAGCACCAACAACAACAACACAAACAACAACACAAACAACCAACGTCAACATCAACGCCAGCACCAACACCAACGCCAACACCAACCCAACACTAACACCAACACCATTCATGGACTTTTGATGAAAGGCGTATATCTATTATACAGATCTTTACCTAAAATGAGCAAAGTGTTTATCATCATCATCTTCCTCTTAGCACTAACCGGCTGTAAAAGTTCTTGTTGTTCGTCCACGTCTATACTTTAGTCTTGTTGCAGAACTTGAGTTTTGTACGCACATCCGTTTCCCAGATCTGTCGCTGAGGCAGATCCACTCCGACTTCGAAAGAAACACCTCTAAATAGTCGCTTTTTACTTCATGCTTGTTGGGGGAGGAGGGCAGTGGGCCCATTTCTATTTTCATCCAAAATGGCGAAAGTGTTTGTCTATAAAGAAAAACACAGCCAGGAGTGTCTGAAATTAAAACACAGTCAGGAGCGTTGATAGGCTAAGTCTCGTTACCAGTACGCATATGTTTGGAAGCAGACCAGCATGCTGAATCAGACTCACATAATTCGCTTGCACAATGCAAAAAAAAAAAAAATCCACCCATAGTGCGTTTCAAAACTCATGCTGTTTCACTTCAGCAAACATCTCAGAAACTCCTGTGCGGATCAACACGAGTTTTTGTCTGTGGCCCTAAATTTCCCACATACTTATGATTATATAATTTTCAATTGCGCAGATGCTGCTGGTTTCTTAAGGCGGCGAATTTCTTTGATCTTTGTTTGACTAATAATTTTGGTACCCCTGACTAATATAATATACAGTAATAAACACACATGTGGGGATTGTTGGAAATCAGTTCTGGTTGTTTGGGAATCTTCTTCTTCTTCTTCTCGTTCACCAGCTGTAAACTCTGGCAGAAAGTTCTGGCTGTTCATCCACTTCTTGACTGCAGTTCTGTTCCAGAACATGAGTGTTGCTTGTACATCCGTTTTACAGATCTGACTCATTTGTGTGCAGACTACTGGTTCATTGTCTCTCAGGCAGATGCACCAACTTCGAAGGAAGCTCCCAATTAGTCGACTCTTACGACATGCTTTTAGGTAGGCAGTGGGTCTATTCTTGTTTTCCCTATAACAGGGCTCCGGAACCCACACGAGGAAGTTTTGGTTACCTCGGTTTTTGCCATGGTTGAGGTAATCTCGCTGAGCGTATGTTGTCATAATATTTCATTGTTAGCTGGAGATGATTCATGTTTTAGACTCTGGTCGAGCACGTTTTTTGTTGTTAATGATGTTATTTGTTGACCACGCTGATGCTATGTCAAGTAAAATAAGCAGGTGTTCAATGTAGTAATCATAGTCCCAGTTGTTTTCCGTTCAGCTTAAGACTTGTAGTTAGTGTGCCTAGTTTAGTTTATTTGTTGCTTGGCTGATCTAGTCTTTACACAGAAGATTTCTTGTCAGGGTAAGATATTTCTGATCTCTTCCCCGCCTAAACGAACGTTTTCTCTTTTTTTTCTTCTTGTTACTGAGGCAGCTTATGGTTGGGTCGTGGCTACCACTCGCCACGTGGCATTGTTTAGAGCTCTTGTAGGTTCGGAGTCTAGGAGATTTCAAGGAGTAGATTCCCATATTATCCTTTATTGTTATATCTTCTCTTTTCCCCCATTACAAGATCACCCCTTCTGCTTCGCTTCTAGTACACTAGCAATAAATAAAACAAAGGACAGAACTATGTGTCTTTCATATTATAGTACACTAGCAATAAATAAATCAAAGGACAAAACTATGTGTCTTTCATGTTATTGTTGTCTTATCTAAAGCGGGCATACTGGATGGCTCCCGTTTTCATCAAAGACACAAATAAAAAATAAAAAAATGTTCGTCCCTGGGTGGACTCGAACCACCAACCTTTCGGTTAACAGCCGAACGCGCTAACCGATTGCGCCACAGAGACATATACTAATACGGAAATCAGCGTGATTAATGTGGGCAAGACTTGTTGCACTAATCATAATTTCTCTGGAGGTTGAACGGGTTATCTAGGATCTGCCTAGTTGGTCTGTCGTCCAGATTAGGATTTTCGAAATCACAGGATGGCATGGTATGGACCAGCTGGCAAGCCCAGGGACGTTATAATTAGGACACACTTAGCGAATTCACCAGCTCAGTCTAACCATGGCCAAACTTTAGTTACTAAAGTAAAGTTTGGCCATGGTCTAACCTGCAGGCCTATCATTTATGCAGGCAAGGATGTTAATGTTTGCGTGGCAGTAGTGATTTTTCAAAAATATTCTGTATAACACTTAGGATTATAATTGGGATAGATGTGTATTCATCGATTTATAAAAGTATGCATTTGTTTTAATTTTTTTCTCAAGATAAATATGTAAGTTATATGGGCTCTTTTCTGTTAAGCCACCACATCACGCGAGATTTAGGGAAATCTCATAGTATACATGGGTTAGGGTTAGAGCTAGTGTTAAATGAATAGCGACTACTACTACCCCTAACCACCCACCCCCTTCCCCTTTTGTACTATGGGATGTCCCTAAATCTCGCCTAGTGTGGTGACTTAACAGAAAAGAAATGTTATATGTTGATGTTAATGGACAATTAACACCCGGTGACACAGAGTGCCAATATTCGGATGAGAATCCACAGCTACAAGTTCCAGAAACCTCGTTGAACCTTAAGGTTATATAAGGGCCCTCGACGGATACGAAAAAACCTGACGTCCAGCCATGATAAGGCTGCGTTATATTTGAATATATCATGTTAGGATAGTAATAATGATTATGGGATGTTAATGGAAAATAAAATTTCATTACAATAAGAGTCAGGTTTGAGCTGAAGAGATGTCCCCAGAAAAGAATTGCAATTTACTGCGGTTTTCATTTTTGGCTGTTTTTTTCAGCATTCCGAGCCCTTGAGGTTCATTGCTGCAGATATCACCCGCCTCCATTTATCTCTCTGGATGGCCTTCTCTTTCCAGCTGGTGACACCAAGATATTTTAGGAGAGCTGCCGATGTGATCAGAAGATATAAAATCAAGAATGAAGAAATTAGGAGAAGACTAGGACTAAAAATATTGATACAATTATTAAAGAACAACAAATGAAATGGCTTGGCCACCTGGCGAGAATGCCCTGGTACTACAGAGAGCCATACAGAGAGCCACGCTGAAAAAATATAATGAACACAGAGCAAGAGGAAGACCACAAAAGAAATGGACCGACATTACCAGGAGCAACCTAGCAGAAATGAACACTAACTTGTTCAACGCGTTGAGAAAAGCGTACAAACGATCCTTACACCCCCCCCCCCCCCCCCCCCCCCCCAAACCTTGCTGAGGTAAATGGTGGAAGAGAAGAAGAAGAAGAAGAAGAAGAAGAAGAAGAAGAAGAAGAAGAAAAAGAAGAAGAAGAAGAAGAAGAAGAAGAAGAAGAAGAAGAAGAAGAAGAAGAAGAAGAAGAAGAAGAATTACCAAATAATTTGTAGCTGTTAAGGCAGTAAAATGCTTTAATCGTATCCGTCCCGTGTCATGACTGGCCCTGAATCGTTAACTCGACTAGGAGGTAAAGAACTGATCGTTTCTGAAATGTGCAATGTAGTATAGGCAGATGCTGTATTTTTCCTCATTCTCTTCCTCCTTAGCAAGTTCCATAGATTTTTTTTTCGACAAGAGTTCGAACACACATTTTATTCCTGAGTGGAAACAAATCCTACTTATAATTACGGATATCAGATGTTTTCCTGTAAACTGTCTGACTTCTTCGCATTTCTTGATTTCATCCTATTTAATGTTTATGAATTTCCCAGGTATGTTGTTAGAGAAGAATTAATTATAGATAAAGATTTTGTTGACATGAGAAATTTATTTTTTAAACTCTTTTACATTATTTGCTTTGGAACTGTTCCTAATAATTCTTTTAAATGTTGGTTACTTTTTCAGCCAAATATGCAGAGTATGTGGAGGCTCATTTGGAACAGTTGAGAGCCCAGTGTCAGAAAATAAGCATCTGTGTAGACGACCTGCTGGCAGATGAAAATATTATAGCGATCATAAATGGATACGATCTGAGTATAAAGAAAACATGCAGGTTAGTTAATCTGTCTAAATAACTCAAAAATGTGAAAATAATTCATTTAAAAACAGTCTAATTTTGACGTTGTTAGTTTAGAGTGTATAACTGCGACGAATATGTGCTATAGTACTTATGTCTATTCAGGTATAAAACCAGTAATACAGTTGATTATAGAGCCACATATGAGATAGTTTGACTAACTGACGAGAATGACATCATACGAATTGCCAAAGACACAGCCACGCTAAAGAAATATAATGGGCACGGAGCAGTAGGAAGACCATGTACAATATGCAACGACTTCGAGAACAGTCCTAACGAAATGAAGATTAACCAATCAATTTGTCTGTTCGCTCCAGGAAGACTACGATTCTATGCTTAAAATACTTCACTCATTCCAATAAATATACATATTCTGGAACGTTTTCCTTTAAGCGGTAAGGGCACTAGCGCAGCGACCAGCACGGCAAGAACAAGCACCAGCAACAATCAAGCAAAAACCCACAGGGACAAGAAACACAGCTAACCAGAACTGATCCTGCCAAAACCACACCAAACAAGACAAACCCGCAAAGAACCGAAAAACACACAACAAAGAAGCAAAGAAAGCAACTAACAAGGACAGCAACTGATGGATAGCAAGAACTTAAAACAGGTGTGGACACACACACCACAAAGGACTAAATCAAGGATAAACCACAAAGACACCCGGCCGACCAAATAACCGACGCTCAAATAGGAGCTGGTTAAACGTCGCCGCAGTTTAGAATTTTTGTTTATGGAACCAGGAACCAGGAACCAGGACGTTTTCTTTAGAATGTTTTGATTCAGATTTACATATAGTCGTAAGCTATAAGTCTAAATGTCAGAGCTGTACTAGATCTTCACTGCAGAAGTTTGAGGTTTGCACAACGGATCAACATACGGGTAGTAACCCATAAGTGCTCCTTCTTCTTCTAACTTAAGCCTGAGTCAGAGGAAGCTCAGCACAGTGCACAGGCTCTATAGCACCGGCGAGGATCCTGAAATACTTTTGGGTAGATTTTTAACTCCAAATTTTGCCCTGGCAGCTCCGGTAGGCTACTCTTTTCGCTTTCCAACTGCACAGCATTTTTTATGTGCGCATCAATGCACACGGGCGTCCGATCTCACTACCCAGAGACCAGGGGGAATTACTAGAAGTCCACGGGGGAAAATCCCAGTTCTTACCGGGGATTAAACCCGGAACCTTCAGCACTCGAGGCGGACACCATGCCTCAAGACCATACAGCTCCCCCCTTTACTGCAGAGAAATGCGACATCTGTTATTAACTGAAACCACAACTTCTAGTGCTGGCGGTTATGATGTTCTCCTAGGCATCAGTATGCTGTTAAGAAATTCTACAACAGCCAAGAAGCTGTGTTTGAACATCTACACTGTGACTGTGAAACAGAGGAACTCAGGTCTTCCCTGAAGCAAAATCACTTTCATATTGGGTATTTGGAGGTCACAGCCACCAAGAACCCCTTGTGCTCCAGGGTTTTACCCTCTAACATATTCCAAGTAGGTAATAATGACAAAAACCCCTCATATTTGGAATTCCAGTGGGTGATCTTGCTACTGAGACATTTATGTTGTGTTTCTGTTATGTGTGTCCTCTCTTCTGTCGGCCACTGAAGCTAAATTTCTTTGGGTTAGCATCACATGATTCATTTTATGTTATATTGAAAAAGACCAAGTTCATTGTTAATTTCTTCTCAAACTGAGTTTCATCTTTGTTGTATGTGTTTAGTCAGCATTCTAATATTTTATGTAACATCGATAGTAATACTGTCCAGTCTGGAGCTTTGCTAAGTGTTCAGGGTGCCCTTGAAAGCTTTTGGTGTACAAAGCTTATCTCATCTGTGAGGTGGCGTTGGATGGTTGTTGTAACTGCAGAATTTCTACCTAGACCAATAGGAGCCACCATCTCAACAGAATAGCGACTCGTATTAGGTCCACTAACCCTGTTTTAAGGAGGGAACACACACTTTGACACGAGACACCAGGTCATATGACAGTCGCTGCCACGAAGAAATAATTTGGTTGCGAAGAGAAATTCAGAATTGAACCATGTTCTTTTAAAAGATTTACCCATCCCGGCTCGCAGTCCTAAAGATTGACACACAATGACTTAATAAATTACTATTCAGATACCAGAATCTCCGTGCAGAAGTATAAAACAGTTACATGGGGGGAGGGGGGGGGGAGACACTGCATGATAAAGAATTAACCTGTAGTTCAAAGGGGGTGGGTAATTTTCTGTCCTACTGATGTCTATCTTCACATATGTTTCAGCCTGGTGTATAAAAGCACTTCCCAGACTTTTAGCAATTTCTCAAAAGAGTGCACCTCTAAAGACAGGGAATCCATACACGCTGAATTTGAGGATCATCTAACGTATCAGATAGAGAACGACAAGCCGGTCTGGAAAAACGTGACCAAATGTTTGGAAAAGAATTATGGGATATCTGAGACGCCCACGTATGTGGATCAGATTTGTGGGTAAGTGGAGGATAATATGGTTGCCATATTTTGATCTTCTAAAATGAGGACTCTTCTCCTAACACTAAATTCCATTGCAGTTGCGTTCCATGTGTATTTTAATGAAGACATGATCTCACTTAGAATGTCTTTCTTTTGCATCAAATATTCATAAAATTGACTGCATGTGGTATGGTGATAGTTCGTTTTAGAAGTGAAATTGACTTGACTGAATTCACACAAAGTCGATTTCTCTCTTTGATCCGTTGAACACGAATTAAAAAAGAAAAAATATTTCCACTAAAGCATTGTGTGCTGGAACAGCAAAGAAGAACTGTGCTATCTCCACGATTTCAGAGTACATCTCACTACTCCGGCAGTTTTTCAGTTTATTCACAAAGAGTTAATTTCACTTGACCAATAAGCTGTGAACAAATCTATTAATTTCTAAAATTATTTCGGATACTAAGATTTACTCGTGAGATGGGGTATGTGTTCGCAAAAATGAGAATATGTGACAACCCTATGGAGGAATCGCTTCTTTTATTTTATTTCATTCTTACCGGACACATGGCAGAACAAAATGAGAGAGCGGCGTGAAAAGAAAGGTGTGGAGAGGGGGGGGGGATGATGAATGTCAGAAACTGAGAGTACAAGCATATCGCACAATTTATTCACTATTATATTTCGACATGTTCATTTCTACAGTTTCCAACATTCACTTAAGCACCTTTCAACTGAAATACACATATAACTTAGTCTGTTGTCATGTTTCTTCCCGGAAGTCGGAGCGCATCTGCCAGAGATGCAAGTAACCATTATAGGCAATCAAATAATCCAGATCTGTAAAAAGGATTTCCCGTGTGAAGGGGGTGGAGGGGGGGGGGGACTAGAATAGACCCACTGCCTCCCTAACAAGCATATCATGAGACTAGACAAATTGGAGAATTCCTTCGTAGTCGGAGTGCATCTGCCTGAGAGGCAGGGAACCAACAATCTGCATACAAATAAGTCATATCTGTGAAACGGATGTTCTGAAACAAGACTTAAGTCCAGAGCTGGACGAACACCCAGAACTTTTTACTAAAGTTACAGTTGGTAAACGTGAGAGAGAAGAAGAAGAAGAAGAAGAAGAAGAAGAAGAAGAAGAAGAAGAAGAAGAAGAAGAAGAAGAAGAAGAAGAAGAAGAAGAAGAAGAAGAAGAAGAAGAAGAAGAACAAGAACAAGAAGAAGAAGAAAAAGAAGAGGAGGAGGAGAATGAGGAGGAGGAAGAAAAAGATGAAGAAGAAGAAGAAGAAGAAGAAGAAGAAGAAGAAGAAGAAGAAGAAGAAGAAGAAGAAGAAGAAGAAAAAGAAGAAGAAGAAGAAGAAGAAGAAGAAGAAGAAGAAGAAGAAGAAGAGGAGGAAGAAGAAGAAGTAAAAGAAGAAGAAGCAGAAGTAAAATGGATGTGTAAGGAAAACTCAAGTTCTAGAACAGGATTAAACTCCAGAAGTGAACAACAGCACCACTAACAACAACAACAACAATAACAACAGCAACAACAACATCTAAAACTTTTCGCCTGAGGTCAGAGCCGATGAATGCAACGAAACAGAATATATATATATATATATATATATATATATATATATATATATATATATATTGTTTATATTAACTGATTAAACGAAGAGAAACTGCTCTATACTTCACACAGCTTGGCCTATAACAAGACACAGATATGCAACGCGAGCACTCACAAAACTATCAGAGATTTCTTCAATGACCAAATTCATCATTTGAAGTGCACGTGCAAGGCTTTGCAGACAAGTATGTAGTCATATATTCTACATTTATCCCTTTTCTCCGTATGTCTCAGTCTCTCCATCTTCTCTCTCTCTCTCTCTCTCTCTAGCGGCAGACTATATGTGTTGGCATTTCTGACGGCTGCTTATGCATTTAATGCATGTGTATGCCATTTTCTTGCCAATGCTGCAATTCCATTTGTTGTCTTTTGTTAAACAAGGGATGGCGATCGGTATTCTGTGTGGTTTTCGCTGGTACAGAAGCGGAGTATCTCAGAGATTACCTGTTTGTCATGAAGCTGGAACTGTGATTTACTGAATTAACTAAATTCACGTGTGGATTTCGGGACTCCATTGTGAAAAAAAAAAAAAAAAAAACAGACCCACTTCCATTCTAACGAGTATATATGTAATACAAGCACACTTAATTAGGTGTGCATCTGCTTGAGAGGCAAGGTACCAACAGTCTGCATACAGATAAGATAGATCTGTAAAACAGATGTGCACGCAGAACTCAAGTTTTGGAGCGAGAATAAAGTCCGGTAGTGGACGAGTTCGGCTGAGGTCACAGCCGGTTTCACAGAACGTGAAAAAGAGAAGAAGAAAAATAAAAATTATTACCTGAATAATAATCACCGTTTTAAGACTGAAAATCATGTTCTTCACATTATGACAGGGGTCATGCATTCCACGCCATTATCAGACATGGAAACACTTAAATGGTTTTCGTTCTCTGGAAGACAGGACACACACACACACACACACACACAGACACACACACACAGACACACACACACACACAAAACTCCTCACCCAGCTCTCCTAAGGCCATTAATTAAAAGAACGACTCATGCTCATCCGCCTGTAGATGGTTAGAAGGAAGAGAACATGTTTCGTTAAGAAGGCTAAATACCAAGCTTGCTGACATCACACTCCCTCCCATTATATCAAATGCCCCACCGAAACCGTGCAACCACCACCCCCCCCCCCCCCCCCCCCCCATTCCGCCCGCCCCCTTTTTTTTGGTTTAGGGATAGCTTGCCAACAGCCAGAACCACTTTAACAGAGATCTGCTCCAAATATGAGCAGGTCTGCTATGAAATCAATTACAGAAGGAAAGATCAATAGACTGTACCCACACCAGAGTTGGATTAGAGTTCAAATAGACCAGTGGATTTCAACTTTCCTAATGCCGCGACACTTTAGTACAGTTCCCTCGTGTTGTGGTGACCCCCAAACGATTATTTTCCTTCATAACTTCAATGAATATATATTTTCCGATGGCTTTTGGCATCCCCTGTAAAAGGTCGCAAATTTGTCGCATATTCTACTGAATAACCGACAGGTTGAGTACTGTTGATATAGAGAACAATAAAAGACGAAGGAGGGGGAAGTTTATACATAGAATACCCAAAATAGTTAAATAATTTAACAAGCTATACCAACAGGTTCATCTTCCTCCAGTTATAGAGCAGCGGCAGAGGCACTTCTGGTGGCATGTTCTTCTATGAACGTGTAACAGCACAGAAAGTACTGTAGTGTGATCTTTCTGACTGATGCTATATCAGTTCAACCAGCAATTGTTAACTCAAGAGACACACAGTTAATAGTCTTTACGCGACAGCTGTTTCAATTAGATTCTGTTTTAGAACAATCTGTACTGCAGTGGATTCCATGTTATTGTGGCTTGGAAGGCAATGAAATAGCGGAAAGACTTGCCGAAAACGGCAGTGACATGGATCAACGAAATAGTGACTTAACCCACCAAGAGACTGAGACATTAATACAATCAAGTATTCAAGAAAACCGGCTTCTCCACCCACTAAATTTCCTGCCCAAGACACGCTGCATCGTATCTCTATGTTGAATGTTGAGTTAAGAATCGACATCACAGCACTCGGGACACCCCAAAAAGCGCTCTGTCCCCATCTCGAGCAGCAAGCGAAGAGTTCCAATTCCGATGGCACCAGTAACTGTCAGATTGTATATCCTTTTCGCCATTCCCTCGAGGTTGAGCGCCGGCCATATCCCCTTGTAACTCCTCGCAGCGCTATTCTTCCCAGACCGTCATGAACTGTCTGTGCCTAAGGACTGTTCAATCGCTTCCAAAGAGCCCTCACAATATCCAGCTTGTCATACATCAGTTCACCACCAAGCGGAGCGGAACTGGCCAGTCTATCTGGCGCTCTTTTCCCAACAACACCGGCGTGACCTGGAGAAAATATCTAAACGATGCTAACTACCCGGGACCTATGAAGTGATTCTTACCACTCTGCACGGAGTGTGCCTATTCCCACCTTTCTCAACATGCTCTGCGAGTCAGTTACAATCACGGCATGTGTGTACATCTGATTCTCAAGCCAGCGGAAAGCAGCAGTGACTGCCTCCACCTCCATTCTCAAACTAGACGTTGTGATAGTCGTTGTGTGTGGTCCTCATGACAACACAAATATGACCCTATGGCCCTCAGAGAAATTCTCTGTTTAAAATGCCTGGCCTAGCGAGGCTTTACTACACCAAGCGAAGTCCATTTACTTGTGACATAAACCCCCACGTACTTCGTCTGCTCCTTAACACAAAGCCATATGTAAACATAATCGCATCACCTCGGCGGGAATTGTCATGAATCATTTGTTGAACTTCTGATTCTGCAGCACCAGCTGGCCAGACGGTGCACTCATGACTCAAAGTGATAACAACCATATGCAAGTCTGAAACTTGCTCGGACACTTTGACACATTCCTTTTCTCGCTTAAATGTATCGAGCCTGCACACATATCTAATTGTGTCTTCAGCTTGTGCCATCCAACACCTTCCTCTTTTTAGTCTGTGACCTTTAGCTTTACCTAGGGCTTCATGCAGGAGGTGCTTCTCGTCTGCAGCTACCCTGAGATATGACTTTGTTTGCACAACAACTTTGAGCCTATCAGCAATAGTAGGCAGTGCAAGTATATATCGAAGAAGCATCACTGTTGCCTTGTTATACTGTTTTCTACAGGTCAGCTCTCAATGCCACTTTTGGTTGGTTCGGCTGCTGGAGTTATCCTCCTGTTGTTTCTTTTGTTTGTGATCGGCTTCTTCTGCTACAGACACAAGAAATCAAGGAAAAGGTGAAGCTTGTTTATCGTCTCTCTCTCCCTCTGTCTCTCTCTCTTTCTCTTTGTCTCTGTCTGTCTGTCTGTCTGTCTCTCTCTCTCTCTCTCTCTCTCTCTCTCTCTCTCTCTCTCTCTCTCTCTCTCTCTCTCTCTCTTTTCTCTCTTTTTTTTTACTTCCTACTCTTATTTTAAAATTTATGAGCAACATCAGCAGGCGACTATCTCTTCTAGTTCTTCTTTTCTTCTACTGCTTACGCTGTAAAGGTCACAGAGAGGAGTTATATGTAGTTTCTAGTTTTTTTTTTAACTAGTCGTGTAGCTTGCGTTCTTAGTTCTTCCTTGTTGAGTCTGTCTCTTCTTGTTTTTCCCGCCGCAGTTATTATACACCTCATCTCAAACGTTGTAATCTTGCGTTTATTATTTTTTTTTTAAGTGACTATCCTTGTCTGGTACTGATAGCACGTTCGACCTTAAAATGGTGGTTGGCACATTGTATTGTGGTTTCAGTCAGGTTAGATAGCACTGCTTTTAGGCCCAGCACATCCGATTTTATGAAACTCCTAATTAGTCCTTTTACGACATGCTTGCTAGGGACAGTGTGTCTCTTGTCTGTCTATTCTTTGATCCCTACTATGGGACCCTTGAACCCACACAATAAAAGCAGACAATAGAAATGCAGATATGATGTTGATTCTTCTGTTGGAATGTGCCTTGTTGTGTCACAGATTCTGACCATGGCACTGGAAGGTCGTGTGACCAGTTTTATTCCCGCCACCTTTGTTTTTCTGGGAAACATTTATTTTAAATTATTCAGTACATATTTTAGGAGGCTGAGTCTAATATATCCCTACTGGTTAAAATGGTTTCATTTTTTTTAAACATAAGATAGAGCAAGGTCTGCTTGAACAGAGGAGGATCCGTAAACTCTGTTCTGCTCGCATCCTACTTTCCTGTTTAGCTAAGTTCTGAATGTTGAATGTTGAACTAAGAATCTACAGCACAGCACTCGGTTCATTACTATAGGTCACCTGTCCCCATCTTTAGAAGCAAGCACAGAATTCCAGTTACGATGGCACCAATCACAGTCTAAATCTATGTTTGTCTAGTCTTTCACTTGGTTGTTGAGCATCTTCCAGACCCATTGATAACTCCTTGCATCTGCTTAGTTAACTGTCTAATTTATGATCATTCATTTATATTTGGATCTATGTCTGTCTAGTCTTTCACTTGGTTGTTGAGCATCTTCCAGACCCATTGATAACTCCTTGCATCTGCTTAGTTAACTGTCTAATTTATGATCATTTATTTATATTTGACAGAATTATGACATGCTCAAGAACTCGCCTATCTAAATAGCAAAAGTGGTAAATGTGGACAGTAGTAGCATAGTAGTCACCTAGTGCTACCATTCATGATAAACAGCATTTCTAATGTCGGACTGTTTGTGTTAGCACTTCGGGTGGCTACAGAATGCTTTTAATGCGTATGTACGCTAGTGCATATGCTGAGACAGCAGTCTGTCAATCTTTCCACAAGGGACCGTGATAAACATTCTGTGTGTTTTTCGCTAGCACAGGAGCGGAGCAACTATGGGGTGACCCGTTTGCTATAAAGCTGAAACTAAGATTACCAGATTACCAGTAAAAACAAATTTTTTAGCGTCCATGTTGATTGTATGATGCAAAATACCTTTATCAGCAAAATACTTTTCCAAAGTAATTATATACAGCGGCTAATTTTAAATTTTTTTTAAGGCAAAAGCAAGCTCCAAACGTAATATATTTACAAGCTCCCAACGCAGACAATAACCCAGTTTACCAGGAAATTATGGACGATAAGGTAAAGTATAAGTTAATTAAATAGATAGTACGTTAGCGACGTTTATTAACGCACTCAGTCTCATAATTAAACCCAATTCAATAAATACATTTTTGGAAAACAAATCAATACAGTTTCTTGGCATCCAGATAAGCATTTATAAATATGCAATAATGTGGCATGAGTGGATACCATGCACCAGTTTTCCAACAGTGCAGGGAATCACGGGGATATACTGTCCGGGAATATGCAGGAGTGCGAGGAAATGAAATAGCGGATTTTCTGGCTTCAAAAGCGAAAGCTACGAGAACACACGTATTGAACAAGGGAGATATCATGAAGACCCTATATGAACGACTTTTGGCACAAGACACGAGATTAGATGAAATAACATAGGCAAGAAAGTGAGAACGAGGATTTAAGTGTGGAGTTGGCAAGGAGGTACGGAGGAAAGGAAGAAATCGGCGTGTGTATAATCATTGTGCTACTGGAACAGTTACCATCTACACCTTACGTCATTTACTGCCGGAGACGGAGCATCTATGGGTATGCCCGGTGTGCTATGATGTCGATTCTTAAATCAGTAAATCCGTACATTTATAAATATGCAATGCTTAAAGATACTAATCGGGATTCAGGGGTGTAAAACATGGCGGTTTACCAGGACCAGGGCCATTTCTGGTCAAGACTTCCGGTGTGGTTTCCTGGGCTCCATTGTGGAGGATACAAGAATCAACCCACTGTCCCACCTCCATAACAAGCATGTCATAAAAGTCGACTGATTGGCGATGACTCTTTTCTTTGAAGTGGAAGTGCATCTGCCTGAGCAGTAAGGAATCAACAGTCTGCTTACATATAAGCCGAATTTGAAAAAAAAAAAAAAAAACGCACATGCTCGGAAAACCCATGTTCTGGAGCAAGACTAAAGTCCAGAAGTGGACGAACAACCAGAACTTCCTGCTATAGCTTACAGCCGGTGAAAGCGAAGAAGAAGAAGATGAAGAAGAAGAAGACTGGTCAAGACTTATCTACACCTCTCCGCTATCATCATAGAAACAGGGGGTTGGGGGGGGGGGGGGGTTGGGAGAGCCTGGGCAAGTCAAACAAACTTTGCCAGCACAAGTACGTCCTGCAATACAAACAACAATGTTTACCAAATGACTTCAGTTAGTGGTCGTGTGTGGTCCTCATGACAACACAAATATTACCCTAGGGCCCTCAGAGTAATTCTCTGTTTAAAATGCCTGGCCTAGACAGCGTAATTTGGATGTACGTCTCTTTCGAATGCAGCTGTATGACATGCAAGGGACCAACAGTTTGCACACAAATAGGTCAGATCTCTAAGACTGATGTGCACGCATCGTTCAACTCCTTGAACATGACCACAGTCTGAAAGTGGCCGAACAACCAGGACTTTCCACTGGAGTTTACAACTGGTAAACAATAGGAAGAAGCAGACAAAAATACTATTCTGTGCAGTACTCATATATTTTTAACCTAGTAGAGGGCAGTTTGTAATGAAGAACTGAATAGTTTTTATAGTACAATTTTCGTCTTATTGTGATTGCTACAGTGAGCATGGTCGGCGTCTGTGGCTTAGGAGGTGCGAACGCGCTTTGTAATGCCGGGGTGCCAGGGTTCGATCCCAGCTGCGGGCCTTGCGCCTTGCATTGGTTTCGACAGTGGTATCGAGAAGCCGACCGTCCAGAAGCAATGGCAAACTACTGGACGTAAATTTGCCTAGAAATACCACAACAGCCCAAATATGCTGCGGTTGGTTCTGCAACGTCTTGTAAAGGATACGCAACTAACTTTAACAGTGAGCATGTGCATCACATGGTCTCTTTGGGAATATCACGTCAGTTATTTGATCCGATCAACTCACTCCCAAGCAGTAACAATCCGAATTTTGATCAACAAACATCCAATACGCAGTAACATTCTTAAACTATACTAGCAAAGGTGGATACAAGACATTGAAGATGCATGTACTATGAACAGGGTGACTATACATTTTGTTTTCACAGTGACAGTTTTTTTCTCCTTCTTCTTCCTTTTTAGGCGTGTCCCGACCATCACGCCGGCACTCGAAAAATACAGCTGACTGCCCGTTTTATAAAAATTGGCCAGAGAAATAGAGACTTCCAGGCGCGCAGGGACGAGAGGGATGTTCTGTAAAGAATTTTTCGATTAATAACGACGAGATTGCTGGCTTCTCTGTTAATATCTTGCAATCTTTTCGTCACAACATTTTTAGAAATTCGGTGCTGTAAACAGTTTGAAGTTTATTTTGTGAGTGCAAATACAAGTTTCTGTTGCCTCTTCAGCCACATCAAGGTTACAAGCAGCCATCTTCCTTAAACCCGCCAAGTCTGCCTGTCCGATATACAACACCAGTAGTTAACCCTCCTGTCACTCAGTTTGGTGTTCACGAGGATGCGCATGGCTATCTAGAACCTGTGGCAGCAAGTTCCAGATTTAGGTGTGTATTTCAACAGCAGTTGGTTCTTATCCTGCTGCAGCAGCTGCCCAGCTGTGTGTTGTTTTTGTTGTTCATCATCATCATCATCATCATCATCATCATCATCATAATCATCATCATCATCATCTTCTTCTTCTTCTTCTTCTTCTTCTTCTTCTTCTTCTTCTTCTTCTTCTTCTTCTTCTTCTTCTTCTTCTTCTTCTTCTTCTTCTTCTTCTTCTTCTTCTTCTTCTTCCTTTTCTTCTTCTTCTTTTTCTTCTGACTCGTCTTCTTCAGCTGCTGCTGCTCTGCTATTGTTATTACTACTGCTGTTGCTGCTGCTACTACTTCTGCCACTACCACCACTAGTACTGCTGCTACTACTACTACCAATACCACCACCACCACAACAACAACAACAACAACTACTATAACTACTACTACTACTACTACTACTACTACTACTACTACTACTACTACTACTACTACTACTACTACTACTACTACTGTACTACTGCTCCTGCTACTACTACTACTACTACTACTACTACTACTACTACTACTACTACTACTACTACTACTACTACTACTACTACTACTACTACTGCTACTACTCCCGCTGCTGCTGCTAGCACTACTACTGCTACCACTACTACTACTGTCACTACCACTACTACAGTTACCACTACCACCACTACAGCTACCACTACCACTACTACAGTTACCACTACCACTACTACAGTTACCACTACCACTACTACAGTTACCACTACCACTACTACAGTTACCACTACCACTACTACAGCTACCACTACCACTACTACAGTTACCACTACCATTACTACAGTTACCACTACCATTACTACAGCTACCACTACCACTACTACAGCTACCACTACCACTACTACAGTTACCACTACCACTACTACAGTTACCACTACCACCACTACAGCTACCACTACCACTACTACAGTTACCACTACCACTACTACAGTTACCACTACCACTACTACAGTTACCACTACCACTACTACAGTTACCACTACCATTACTACTGCTACCACTACCACTACTACAGTTACCACTACCACCACTACAGTTACCACTACCACCACTACAGCTACCACTACCACTACTACTGCTACCATTACCACTACTACAGTTACCACTACCACTACTACAGTTACCACTACCACTACTACTGCTACCATTACCACTACTACAGTTACCACTACCACTACTACAGTTACCACTACCACTACTACAGTTACCACTACCACTACTACAGTTACCACTACCATTACTACTGCTACCACTACTACAGTTACCACTACCACTACTACAGTTACCACTACCACTACTACAGTTACCACTACCATTACTACTGCTACCACTACCACTACTACAGTTACCACTACCATTACTACTGCTACCACTACCACTACTACAGTTACCACTATCACTACTACAGTTACCACCACTACTACTACTACTGCTCCCGCTGCTGCTGCTACCACTACTACTGCTATCACTACCACTACTACAGTTACCACTACCACTACTACAGTTACCGCTACCACTGCTACAGTTACCGCTACCACTACTACAGTTACCACTACCACTACTACAGTTACCACTACCACCACTATCACTACCACTACTACAGTTACCAGTACCACTACTACAGTTACCACTACCACTACTACAGTTACCGCTACAACTACTACAGTTACCACTACCACTACTACTGTTACCACTACCACTACTACAGCTACCATTACCACTACTACAGTTACCACTACCACTACTACAGTTAACACTACCACTACCACTACTACAGTTACCACTACCACTGTTACAGTTACTGCTACCACTACTATAGTTACCACTACCACTGTTACAGTTACTGCTACCACTACTACAGCTACCATTACCACTACTACAGTTACCACTACCACTACTACAGTTAACACTACCACTACCACTACTACAGTTACCACTACCACTGTTACAGTTACTGCTACCACTACTATAGTTACCACTACCACTGTTACAGTTACCACTACCACTACTACTGTTACCACTACCACTACTACAGTTACCACTACTACTACTACAGTTATCACTACCACTACCACTACTACAGTTACCACCACTACTACTACTACAGTTATCACTACCACTACCACTACTACAGTTACCACCACTACTACTACAGTTATCACTACCACTACCACTACTACAGTTACCACTAACTCTACTACTTGTAACAAATGTATTAAGACAATAAACCGTTGTTCGGTTGCATTGGTGCGCATTGTATGTGTAGGCTATTTGCATTATTTTTAAATAGACATCCCTACTGCGAGTGTAATGTATGGTGACTATCACGCCGGCCTCCTTTACTCCCCGGAAAATTTTCTTGTACTTTTTTTAAGGCTGGGTCAACATGGGAGCCCAGGTCTAGTTCATAAATTCCAGCCTCTACAGTGATTCGAACATATAATCACCAAGCGGGCAAGCTGGTATACTAACTGTTCACCTCTACGTCTTTCTGTCAAATATAAAGTACACTAACTGTCACGTCCTAATTAAACAAATAATTTATCTTTCTTTCTTAAAGGCCAACTCTTCCACTTCCGGGTCAGTCAAACACTGGCTATGAAGTCCCTCCAGATTATACACAAGATGATGATGACGGCGTGAAAAAAGCAATCATAGATGGTAGTTGTTTGGAGCCAGTCGATGATGAAGACAAGGGCTACGACACACTGGGCAGGAATAAAACTGGTGTGGAAGCATCTAAGGCTGAGATGGTTCCACTGGGCCCAGTCCCTGCCAAAAGAACCAAGAAGGATGACCGACAGACGGAGTCTCATTATTTTGAACTTGAAACAAACGGTAACAACTTCTAGTTTGAGAGTGGAGGTGGAGGCAGTCACCGCAGCTTTCCTTCGGCTTGAGAACCAGCTGCACACATGTGTCGTGATTGTAAAATATTCATAAGTATGCTGAGAAAGGTGGAGACGGTCACGGTCTTAGGCAAGTATGGCTTCAGAGATCCCAGGTTGTTAACGTCCTTTCGATATCTTCGCCAGGGTATGTAGGTTTGTTAGAAAACAAACAGGCAAACTGACTAGCTCTGCACTACAAAGAGGGCAAATTGTTGCATGACAGGCTAGATGTGCTCAATGCCTTTGGGAGTGAATGAACAGTGCGAAAGCACAAATAGATCACCATAATCTGGAAAGAATGGCGCAGCGGCGTGCAGTCATGCGATCTAGCCGACGTTCAACGCTCAGAGAAAAGGCAAGACGGACAAACAGTTAGACTGCCACAACCACCGTCGGAACTGGAACTGTGCGCTGGCTCTCTTTTGGAGATTTCTCGACTGCTGTGATGTCTGTGTTTACTCAACCCAAATACAGCTCAGTACTGATGGCAGCAGTCGAACAGAATACTTTCATGTTGGAATGCATTTTTAGTCATGTATTTTTAGTCCGTGTGTGATCGTTGCAGAAACACACTTTGCTTAGCTTAGGATAATTACTCTGTGGTTACTGCAAACTGCATATCATCATCATCATCATCATCATCAGGTACCTTGCCGACTGGCGTGGGCGATATTGTCTCTCCACAATCTGCGATCTCCTGCAGCATGTATCAGTTCGTGTGCTGACACACCTCTATGCCATGCAACAAGACTGTCAAGAATCTTCTCTCGTTGTCTTCCTCTATCTCTCCTTCCACAGACTGTTCCAGTGGTCACAACATGTTCCATTTTCCATCTTCTTAAAACATGGCCGAAAAATGATGACTGTCTCCTTCTGATGTCTGTGATAAATTGCCTTCGGGGTCCCGCCTCTTTCAAAACTTCTTGGTTGCTCTTTTTGGCTGTCCAAGATATTCTAAGCATTCTTCTGAGGCCTCAAAAAATTGTTTGGCCTGCCTACCGATTGTCCTGCATATAGGACTGTTAATTATGGTGTAAGACAAGGTGGTGTGGGGGGGGGGGTGGGGGGGGGTGGGGGGGGGGGGGGGGGGGGGGTGGGGGGGGGGGGGGGGAGGGGGGGGGTGGGGGGGGGGGGGGGGGGGGGGGGGGTGGGGGAGGGGGGGGTGGGGGTTGGGGGGGGGGTGTTGGGGGGGGGGGGGTGCGGGGGGGTGGGGGGGGGGGGGGGGGGGGGGGGGAGTTTATGAATCCAAGGATCCTAAGGATAGTCACATAGCTCGTGCAGGTTCGAATTTTTAGTCTCGCTGCCCCCCCCCCCCCCCCAAAAAAAAAAAAAAAAAAAACTGCCGTCATCTTGATTTAGTGTACAGAAATAAATTAATCGCATAAGAACCATTGAAACAAAGGACACACTAGACAACACACAATTCTAAAGCTACAGTTACTACACCAGAAATCGAAGCTGTTAACCTTCAGATGATAACAAAGCCTCGCGTATGGACACGTTTGACCAAGTTTTATTATTGCAAGTTTTTTTAAAGCTCTAAACTAAAGTAAGACGAAGCTGGTTCCAAAATTCATTTGAAAATGGATGTAATGTTTGTCTTCAGTTCAACTCGGCTCGAGAATAACACTTAGTTTTGAAGTTAATTTTCTTATGGATATTGCCTATAGTCACATCGTTGGTTTTACATCAATCAATGGATATTGCCTATAGTCACATCGTTGGTTTTACATCAATCAATGGATATTGCCGATAGTCACATCGTTGGTTTTACATCAATCAATGGATATTGCCTATAGTCACATCGTTGGTTTTACATCAATCAATGGATATTGCCTATAGTCACATCGTTGGTTTTACATCAATTAATGGATATTGCCTATAGTCACATCGTTGGTTTTACATCAATCAATAGATATTGCCTATAGTCACATCGTTGGTTTTACATCAATCAATGGATATTGCCTATAGTCACATCGTTGGTTTTACATCAATCAATGGATATTGCCTATAGTCACATCGTTGGTTTTACATCAATCAATGGATATTGCCTATAATCACATCGTTGGTTTTACGTCAATCAATGGATATTGCCTATAGTCACATCGTTGGTTTTACATCAATCAATGGATATTGCCTATAGTCACATCGTTGGTTTTACATCAATCAATGGATATTGCCTATAATTGATATTGGCACATCGTTGGTTTTACGTCAATCAATGGATATTGCCTATAGTCACATCGTTGGTTTTACATCAATCAATGGATATTGCCTATAGTCACATCTTTGGTTTTACGTCAATCAATGGATATTGCCTATAGTCACATCGTTGGTTTTACATCAATCAATGGATATTGCCTATAATCACATCGTTGGTTTTACGTCAATCAATGGATATTGCCTATAGTCACATCGTTGGTTTTACATCAATCAATGGATATTGCCTATAGTCACATCGTTGGTTTTACATCAATCAATAGATATTGCCTATAGTCACATCGTTGGTTTTACGTCAATCAATGGATATTGCCTATAGTCACATCGTTGGTTTTACATCAATCAATGGATATTGCCTATAGTCACATCGTTGGTTTTACGTCAATCAATGGATTAGACTAGGCAATGAGCAAGCTGATAGGATTCCAAGTAAAAGTACTGTGAAGAGCGGACTAGCTACTGACCAGGCTGATATATTGAATGCTAAACGAGAACCAATGGATGGTTACATCTGCAATCGTGACCAGACTAAGTAGAGACAGGAGTACCATACAGGAAGTGGGACCAGGCAAGAGTACCATTCAGGAAGTGTGACCAGGCAAGAGTACCATACAGGAAGTGTGACCAGGCAAGAGTACAATTCAGCTAACGAAAAATAATAAAGCAGTACAAGACTGATGTTGTTAGCCACTTCATATTGTGGTTTTTACCAAGATGGTGATCCGAGCATTGGTGGACTTTATTACTCGATGTGCAGTGAGTATAACTGCCAACTAACTAACTAGCCAAACAATGATTAGGAAGCTCAATGAAAAAAAAGGGGAAAAAGGGGGTTGAGGGGGGGGGGGTATAGGGGGTTAGGGGTGAAGCTGACGTGCATCCGTTCGTATTTCTTCCCTTTGCTCTTTCATTAAGCTGTCTAGTCCTAGTTTATGCCATTGTTTACGCTTAGTCACTTTATTTCTTGGTACTGACTCGACGGAAGTGGCCCTCGTGTTTAACAAACTGTTCGTTCAATAACATGCTAGTTTATTCACTTGATTGTTTATACATGTTTCACTGAAACCTCATTTGTAGATTATACTGTGTATTCATTTTCATTGTCATTATACTACACCAAACGTTTGAGTAGAGTTTCTTATCCCTTTGGAAAATCCATCGTGTACGAATTGTCTGCCAGTGTCTCTCTGCCAACTGCTAATAAAAGTCCAAGATGTGTCCGGTAAACCAAAGTAAGCTTGTCGCTCGGTCGTCCAGGCATGCGGACTGTTCTAATTACGCTGCCGTGGCGGCTTCTTATCTCACAGTACCTCCTTCGAAACCACCAAGTCGTCTTGTCTCTGGCCGAAAGTATAACACCATCCGGTAATTCTGTGCGGCGGGGAAGCAGCCCTGAGCTTCATGAACTCAGGTGGGCCCACCTCCGAATACGTTTAGGAATCGTGGGCCGAAACGTGTGTCGAAAGAGGATAATTTCTACTGATGACTGTAGATCCCCGCTGTACTTGCTCCCTGTGAGTTTATTCTCTTATTGTACGTGGCTAGCCCACAAGACTACCAGGAAAGACTGGTGACTATCGGGAAAGTCCTTTTGACACCTATGGAAAGACTGGCCCCCCGGTATCGCCGGGGGATAAAACTGACATCTGGAGACAGATGTCGACTGTGGACCGGGTTGATCACCCCTAACACAGTATAATACCTCCGATTTCGAACAACCACAATGAAATATGCCCCCAGGGCCCTCCGAAAGGGGGGGAGAATGAAGGGCCCAATCTGATTGATACCCTCGTTGACGACCTTGCTAGCCCCCGGACTGAGACACTCGCCCAACGTCCGGGCTGGCTCTGTACATGTGGGAAAAGCTTCACGGGGTTGCATGGTCTGAGAACGCATGCCGGAAGAATGAAATGCGAGGGTGTGCTCCACGCAGTAAACGCCGTCGCAAAACTACTACTCCTGTGGTAGTTTCTGAGTCGTTAGGGAACGACGGGCAGGGGGAACCCCACTCGCCCGGAGAGGCCCATGACGTCGACTGCGGAGGAGCACCTTTGATGATTTCTGAAGAAGTGCGCTCCAGAATCAGGTTTCCACCTGCGAGCGAGAAGGTGGTGTGGTGTAAGTTGGAGGCTACATTATGTGAGGTACTTAAACAAACTCTAAACAAGAAGTCGCTAGGCGACAAGCTTACTAAATTTGGTGATGTAATATATGAACACTGCTCCCGCGAGTTCGGGACAGTAGTTAAGGCACAGCCGGGTGCCAAGCAGAATACTAGCAGGAGGCAGAGGGACATTCTGAAGTGTCGGGCAGACAAGAATGCCCTCAGAAAACAGTTCAAAGCCGCTACGGGCAGCGAACGGGAGGGGCTGTACGAAGTGTGGGTGCATTTAAAAAACAAACACAGTGCCCTCTGTCGCGCCGAGCGTTTCTGTAACAACAGACGAAGAACTAAAAGGGAGCGAGAGAAATTCTTTAGAGACCCGTATCAGTTTGCCCGAGGTCTATTCGAGCAAAACCGAAGTCTGGGACTCTGGTTGTCAGTCAGAAAGAACTTGAGCTACATCTAAGCAAGATGTACTCTGATAAGAAGAGGAGAGAGCCTCTTGATGACAATCCAGAGATCCTTAGCGGACTCAAACAGCCTTCGGTGCCGAAGGTACCATTTAAACTGGTACCTCCCCTTTGGTCTGAGGTTGAGGACGTTGTGAAAAAAGCCAGCGGCAAGTCTGCCCCAGGTC